AGGAGGTTTAACTCTTCAGAGCCCCCACAGCACCTCAGCCCCCTGGGGAGCCTTGGAGACTTTGAAGAGCAGACCAGTTAGCATGTAGCTCAGCAGCAGGGCACTGGCCTGGAACGTGCAAGGCCCTGGCACTACAAAAAGGAAAATCAATCTGTGTTAGGACTTGCTTTCCCCCTGCCGCTTTGATCCTTGGGGATCTTGGCCCTGCCCCCCATTCCCAGGCCTATCAGACCCAACTTGGGAAACAAGAACAAGCGTATTTGATTTCTTCTAGATCTGCCTGTTTTCCTTGGTGTCTGACCCCTGGACCAGACTGGTTACCCCAAGGCCGTCAACAGCTCTGGCATCCCATGGATGTGGTCCAGGCTGGGGAGGGCTGGGCAGTGAAGGCTTTTTTCCTTTGCCAAAGTTGACCAGGAGGGAGACGCCAGGTACAGGAATCTAAAGGGTTCTCCTGAGGTGGCTCCCAGAACCAGATCTGCCAGGACACATATTCCGGCTGGTGACGATAATGGTGAGGTTATCATCGTGGTTCTAGCCTGTGAGCATGAAAGCTGCACCAGTCTCTGAGGTGGCCCCACTTTCCAAGGGGCATTGCTGCTGAGGTGAAGAGGAGGGGTTCAGAGATGGTCTCGGGAAGGTTGGGGATCACCAAACACTGTGAACATATGGTGAGACAAGTACAGGTGTCTTTCCAGCAAGGTCGAAGCTCTGAGGACAATTTAGGAAGGAGTGACCCAGTGTTCCAGGGCTGGATGACCAGGGCCATGGGCACAACAGGAAAGTTAGTTTCCCTCAGTCACTTCATGACTGTGATTAGCTCCTGACACATGGAAGGACGGGACCCATCCACGGGGATCATTCTTCACGGGGAAGCAGCCCCTGTGTGTAGGGGGCTGGGGGGAAGAAGTGGGAATGGAGGAGAATGAATGGGGATCAAACCCAGGGCCCTGTGTAGACTAGGCAAATGGCTTATTTTGTTTTGCTTGAGATAGTCTCCTGTAGTCTGGTCTCACATTGTTATGTCGCCTAAGGATGACCTTTAACTTCTCATCTTCCTGCCATACCCGCCTTTGACGGCATGCTTGGGATGGAAACCCAGGGTTCATGAGTCTGAGGTGAGCACGTTACAAACTCAGCCACACCCCACTCCTTATGCTTTGTTTTTAAGGATAATACACCTGCCAAATATGCTGACCCACGCCTGGTAATCCCAGCATTTGGAAGACTGAGGCAGGAGGATTGTCTAAGTTTCCAAAGGCCAGTTTGGCCAAAGAATGAGACTCTGTCTTTCAAAAAAAAAAAAAAAAAATGATAAGCCTCTGTTGGGAAAGGCGGAAGACAGTCATGGTGTATCTGTGGCCAAAGATGGAGGATCATGGATGAGGTGGGACCTTACACAAGTCTTGCAGTTTAGTGCTTCAGTGGTCTCTTGCCACGGTCTCTGTGGAAATTCAGTAAAAATGGACGCGGTGCTTGGCATTTGCCTGGGACATAGCGTTCCAGAGCCACTCCAGTCTTGTCCTCTCTCTTTCCAACCCTTTCCAATCGGCAAAACCTCTTGATTTTCCAAATTGAAGCTGCTGCAATGCTGGTGTCGAGCAGCAGAGGGCGCGCTCAACACGGCTATCACGTAGAGCAGAGCGCAGGATCCGTGAGCTGCGTGGGTCTGACCCGGGGGTGGCAGGCACAGCTGCTCTCAGCCAAGCTGTCCTCCAGCTTGGGGGTGAGTGTACTGGGCCTGCAACCGCAGCCTCAGCCATTGGTTCCCCGACTCAGCCCCAAGCTGAGCTAGTTACTAACACGGTCTTGTTTGTCCAGACCTCCCTGGCTCAGACCCCCGGGCCGGTGGGGAGGCACCACTCGGGCGCTAGATGTTGATGAAGGATCCCTGGTCCCCGTCCACTGTCTCAGGCTCCACGCAGCGCCCCTTCCTCCGAGTGACCCTGCGGTTCCGGTGGAATTTGGCATAGCAACGCAACCCTGAGTAGAAGGAGGCAAGGATGTCATGCCTGCTGGTGACTGTCCCCTCCCTTTCCTTCCCCTCCAGCCAGCACAGGCTTCTCATCCTACAGCTCCTCCACACCACTGTGTTTGAAGAGTTTTAAGAAACTGGGGGTTGGGGCTTTAGCTCAGTGGTAGAGCGCTTGCTAGAGGCTCTGGGTTCGGTCCTCAGTTCTGGAAGAGAGAGAGAGAGAGAGAGAGAGAGAGAGAGAGAGAGAGAGAGAGAGAGAGAGAGAGAAACTGGGCTGGTCGCACAGGCCTGTAACCCCAACACTCAGGAGACTGAGGCAGCAGGTTTGGGCTTAGTCTGCCAGGGCTACATAGCAGACTCAAAGCAAAACAAAACAAAACAAACAAACAAACAAACAAAAAACCAAAGCAAAACCTACATGTTGAATTTGGGGCTTTGAATATTAAGCACACATTCTATCGCTGAATTACTCATGATCTCATCTCCTATTTAGGAAAAAAAAAATTGAGCATGGTAGCCCACCCTTTAATCCCAGCATTTAGGAGACAGAGGCAGGAGGATCTCTGTGAGTCTAAGGCCAGCCAAGGCTACAGCATAAGAGGACATAATTAGGCTCTGAATGTTGGCACCTTAGGGATTCTTAGAAAGCAGGGTGAGCACCTTGCCATCTGAGGCCCTTGGGAGGAGGTTTAACTCTTCAGAGCCCCCACAGCACCTTTACCAGGCTAGGGCTGGCTCACAGTCCAAGGACTGTGAGCCCAGGACTCAAAGGCTTGCCCTGTCTGCTCCTCTGTGAAGTGGCGTATGCTCTGAGCACAGGCAACAGCATCTTACAGCACGTCCTAACAACCCTGGTCAGTCTCTACCCTCCTTAGCCTTCCAGCCTGCCCCCTGTCCTCAACTGCCCCAAGTCCTGCAGTTTTTGGCAGGGGAACACAGGGTCTCATGCATCCCAGACTAGCCAACTGGGCGTGACTTTGAACTCCCAACCGCCCTGCCTCTGCCTCCCAAGTGCTTAGACTGTACTCATGGACCACTACACCCAATTCACACTGGCAATAGAACCCAGGCTAGGAAGCTAAGCGGAGTCTCATCCTCAACCCCAGAAAGATCTTTTAAATACAGAGGCTAGACCACAGGACTCCTCTGCTTCAACGTGGACTTCCAATCGCTAATAAAACAAAATCCAAATGAGAGCAACAAAGTCAGTGAGGATCTTCTCGAAGCTTCTCCCATCTCCTTATAACCTTCTCCAGGTCACTACGCGCCAAGGCAGGCTGCTCCTGCCCAAGGTCCCTGCCCTCTCTTTCTGCCTCCTACCAGAGCCCCTGGGCTCTCTTTCAGCCTCCATCCCCCACTCTTTCCTCTTTTCCTAAGGACTCTCTATAACATCCTGTGAGAATACCTACCAGCCTTTCAGGCTTTCTCTACAGCTGTTACGACTTTCCGGGGACTTTTTCTTTCCCATTTTTCTTTTTTGGGGGTGGGTGGGTGAGTGTAGGGTGGTTGGAATGGATACAATACCCTCTGTAGGCCAGGCTGCCCTGGATGGAACTCCATATGTGGCTGAGGATGACTTTGAACCCATGAGTCTCCTATCTCTACTTCTGGAGTGCTGATCACAGGCGTGAGCCTGGCTCCAGAGGCAGCTTATCAATGGCTTTGTTTCTCCACATCTCATTTCACAGGAATGTAACACACAAGTGGAGACAGAGCAGGCTCTTTTATTACTGCGAACGGGACTTGGAGTGTGGCTCGGGTTCACACAGACGCTAAGGGAGGGATCCGCCCTCGGAGCCCGGAATGCAGGTTGAATATCGCTTGTCTCGGCAATGTAGACACCTTGTTTTTAAAAGGGCGCTTATCTCTCAGAGGTGTGTGCTGAAATAAATACTGAATAAATACATAGAGATCATATTGGAACAAGGGAGGTGTGTGGAGGTGACAGCCCCACTCAGGATGGCCACAGTTGGTCTTTATTGAATTTCGGAGATGGGAACCGGGGGCTCATGATACTATGACCTACTCTAGTGTGGGTCTGAAGATTCTCAGGAAACAGAAGTAGAATTATTTTTCCTCCATATTTCTCTTTGAAATTTTTTCTTTAAAATTTATCTTGAGCCGGGCAGTGGTGGCACACGCCTTTAATCTTGTCAGGCAGAGCCAGGTGGATTTCTGTGAGTTCGAGGCCAGCTTGGTCTACAGAGTGAGATCCAGGACAGGCACCAAAACTACACAGAGAAACCGTGTCTCAAAAAACCAAAAAAAAAAAAAAAAAAAAAAGTAAAACTTACCTTGAGTCTGAATGTTTGGTCTGCTTGTATGATGTATATGTATGTACCAGGTCTGCTTGTATGTATATGTACCAGGTCTGCTTGTATGTATATGTACCATGTGCGTGTTTGGTGTCTGTGAAGGTTAGAAGAGGGAACTGGATCCCTTGGAACTGGAGTTATGGATGGTCCTGAGCTTGGGTTCAGGGAACTGAACCTGGGTCCTCTGCAAGAGCAGATGAGGACCTTGCTCTTAAGTGCTTAGCCATCTCTTTAGACCATCCCTGACCATATGGGTAGGGGATTGAACTCAAGGCCTGGCAAGTGCTCTACCACTGAGCTATGCCTTCAGTGATGTATGTATGTATTTATTTATTTAGAGACGGGGTCTTACAATTTAGACCAGGCTGGCCTTGAACTCACAGAGATCCACCTACCCCTGCCTCCTGAGTGCAAGGACTAAAATCATGCACTCCCACACCTAACAAGTCCTTTTTAGAGCAGTTCTCGGGTAGTTGAGCATGGTGCCTCATGCCTTTAACCCCAGCACTCAGGAAGCAAAGACAGGTGAACCTCTGTGAGTTCAAGGCCAGCCAGGTCTACATAGTGAGTTCCAGGACAACCAGAGCTACACAGTGAGACTTTGTCTAAAGAAAAAAAAAAGTGCTGAGGCAGAGCTATGCTGAGACGCATAGACCTCAAATGCATGATCCTCCAGCCTCAGCCTCTCAGTGCTGGGATTACAAGTATATACCACCACAGGCAGTTTTTTCCCTTCTTTTTCATTTCCTTCCCTTTTCCCTCTCCCCTCCTCTCCTCTCCTTCCCTCTCTCTTCCTCGCTCCTCTCCTTTTTTCCTGTGATAAAATAAAATAAACCCAAAAAACAAAAAAGAAGGAGAAGGAAGGAGAGAGTCATCAGCGATGCCGCAGACCTTTAATTCCAGCTGCCTGAGAGGCTGAGGCAGGAGGATTGTGCGTTTGAGGCCTGCCTGTGCGACTCAGCATAGCTCTGCCTCAGGACTTTTTTCGTCACCGTTGTTCTTGCTGAGACAAACACTCTACTACCAAGGTGTTCTTCCACGCCCCCCACTCTCCTAAATATGTGTTTGAGTAAGCCACCTCGCCCCACTTTCGAAGTGGGAATCATAAGACCTCCCTCCCAGGGGTGACTGTGAAGATTCAAGGCAGGAAAGGACTCAGCCTGGGACAGGCACCAGAGGGCACCTGTGTGCATGGGGGGCACACACACCCTTCCGTTTGAGGCGGGCGCTCAGGGCAGTTAAACCAGTAGTCCAGTGAACCCTTCCTTCCCTGTGAGTGCTGACAGTCCCACCCAGTGCTCTGTCCCCCACTGTCTCGCTTGGAAAGCCTCCCATCTAGAACGCTGCTGAGAACATGCCAGTCTTCTCAGGTTGGCTCTTATTTAAGGAGATATGTTCCTGTCTCCTCTCTTCTCTTCTCCCCGCTCCTGATCCTGAGAGATCACACCAGCTTGTATTTCAAGGGGTGAGAAACACACATCTGAGAAACGATGCCAGGAATGGAGACGCATCGAGCTGACAGATTGGAAGGCCCCAGCAAAGCTGTTCCTACTGGTGTCTTCAGCTCCCAGGGGGTCCTCCTACCCACTCCCTCTCCCCAGGCCCCTCCATCACATCCACCCTCTGCCAGGAAACCTCATGCCCCGCTCATTGCAGAGCTGGCTGGACAACAAAGGCTTCACGGTTCTGGGAGCATGGTGGGGAGGGGTCCCCCCCTCCCAGAGTCCAGACTGACCTTCCATGCACATGCAGTCATCAAAACATTTGTTGTTGAGGCCGCGGTTGTGGGGCGTACAGAGATGTTCCCGGAGGTCGCAGCAAGTTCCTGGCAACATAGCAAACACACGTGGTCAGCCAAGCTGAGTGGATCCTCCCCGCCGCCCTGCACGGAGTCCCACTGGACAGGAGATCCATCATCTGTGTGGCAAGCCAGGCCCTGGGAGGCCATCTGGTGTGCAAGGCTCCGGGCTGGAACTACTGCGGGATGTCGTGGATGAAATCCCCGGGGGCAGGTGGCACAGACCCAAGCCTCCCCAGATGGGCCACTTGATTGATCACAGGAGGGTCAAAGGTGATGTGGGGTTCACCTCCCAGGGATGGGGTTGTAATAGCGTGGGGTGCAGAGGTAGAGCCAGCTGAGAGCTGGGAGGGGCCTTAGGGATCGTGGACGCCAACGTCCTCTTGGACAGATGGGGAAACTGAAGCCTTGGGGGGCTGCAGGGATATCCTAGGCAGGCCTGAGGCAGCTCTTCTACAGAGCTGGCTTCCAAGTACCATCCTGATGGCCCCGACTCCAGTCTTTTCTTCACACTCAGAGTGTGGACCGTGATGTAGGAACAGACAGCCTGTCTGGGCTGGTGTCTTGCTTCACAATTCCAAAATGGCTACCATTTTGCAGAATATCCTGCTGATGTGGTGCGGTGGAGATGGCCACCTGAGTCTTCCCTGCCCCCACCTCCCAAAGCACGCATTATTTGGTAGCAAAAAGGGACATCAGTCACTGATCTGCTGTGAACGGTTTCAGGGGCCACCTTGTCCCATGTCCCAACCACCCCTTCCCTCAGCAGCTAAAAACAACAGCCCGCATGGCCAAGACCAGGGCCACCACTTCTGCCCAGCATGGGGCTTCCCAGCAGGCAAGGCTTTTCTCCGGCTCCTTTTGGGCCAACATGACATCAGGCCTGAGGTCTCTCTGTCAACTTGTTTCCTCTCTTGCTTTTAATAAGTGTTACCACCAACACCCCAGATAAGCATTTCCCCAAGACAGGGTCTGGCCTGCAACTCCCTGTGTACCCCAGGATGACCTTGAACTCCCGATCCTCCTGCCTGCACTTCCCAAGCGCTGTGATGACAGATGTTACCCCACCACAGCTTCTAATTCCACCTCCGAGTCTGCTCTGGGGAGGGCCACCTGACCCCACAGGGCCAGCAGTTCAGACTCCAGTCAAACAGCCGACCCCTGTACCCATCCTGCTGTGATGGGTGGGGCTGTTGGACAGGAGAGGGTGTCACTGGGACCGTCCCTAGAAAGCCAGGTGGTGCCACGATGAGGGGACTGAATTAACCCCTGTGGGTGTTGAGAGGACGAGGTCAGGAGCACACCGTCTGACTCAGGGCAGGGTGGGTTGCAGGTAAGAAGCTTAGGAACCAAGTTGGCTCAGGCTGTGTGATCTTTGAAAAAGCCCTTGGCCTCTCTGGGGCTTAATAGCCTTGCTTTTTTTTTTTTTTAAATCTAAGTCAGTCAGTCTTCACACCCCCACTTTACCCCACCTCTCTCCTCCTCTCTCTAAGTCATTCTGTGAGTTCGAATAAGGTAGTGACTCTCAGGAAATTGGTGGCTGCTGATAATGACTCTCAGGAGACTCGTGGCTGCTGTAGTTGCTATTTATTGTGCATAAAGGGTCATGACCCTCAGCCTTACTCCCATGCTAGAAGCCCTGTCTTACCTGCCTTTCTGGCATTCCCTCCCAGCCTGGTGCCTCAAGTGTGGGTATTGGGGTACCAGGGTACCTGGCAGGCAATCCTGGTGATGGTCACATGGTTCTCCCTCAGCTGGCGACGTCTCGTTACCGTCATTGGTAAAGTGACTCCAGTGTTTCTCTGGGGACAAGGAAATTGGGGGTCAGATTAAGCACAAGACTTGGGTGTCACAGTGGCCACTCCCACGGTGTGGCTTGGACAAGAGCCTCTGCCTCTCTCTGCTTCACTTTCTTCCCTAAAGCAGATCCCATAGCCTGTCTCCCTGTAAGAGACCTGGGACCTGGCTAGTGTGCAGAGAGTGTGGGATACTGTTTGTCACGGTGAGTGTCAGGTCCAGCTTAGACCATGCACTCCAGCCCACCTTTGGACACCTGTGGGTCACCCTGGACTCAGCAAATGTCCTCCCTCAATAGGTGCTGGAGAGAGGATTCCAAACATGGGGTGGGATGGCAGGTAGGCCTACCTTTCTTCTTTGCAGAAGGCCAGACCTCTGGCTTTAAGTCTTCATAGTCAGTCCAGTCAAATAAGGCCATGTCCAGTGTGGGCATCACGTCCCCATCAGACCTGGGCTGTGCCTGCAGAAGATGAGGCAGAGGAGGAGACCCGGAGCCTTCCAAGTGAAGATGTCAGGGTAACCACAAAGGCGGCTGATCTGCTTGTTCAGGATTCCTAAGCCCATGGAGGAGGGAGCTAGAAGAGGACCCACTGCTCATTCTGTCCTTCCTCTCAGCGTCCTGTGAAGACCACGTGCAGGCCTTGATCCCGCTCACAACACAGGCCCACTCACAACACAGGCCCCCTCACAACCCTGACCCACTGATCCACTCACAACACAGGCCCCCTCACAACCCTGACCCACTGATCCACTCACAACACAGGCCCACTCACAACACAGGCCCACTCACAACACAGACCCACTCACAACCCTGACCCTCTGATCCATTCACAACACAGGCCCACTCACAACACAGGCCCACTCACAACACAGGCCCACTCATAACAAAGGCCCATTCACAACACCGGCCCACTCACAACCCTGACCCACTCACAACCCTGACCAATATCGTGGAAACTACTGAGGACCAGATATCACTGCTGGGTCCTTACATACCTGATCACCAGGATTCAGCAAGGCACAGACTGTAACTACCTGCTCATGGCCACAGCTTTGGCAGACTCTCAGGAGTATGAGATGAAGAAAGAGGACAAAGGAAACCTACTGCATCTCCTGATGCTTAGGAGATGTGGTCCAACCTGCCAGTGATGCCTGGAAGAGTTAACCCCTGTATGTAGCTGTTTTCACACACGCACGCACGCATGCACGCACGCACATGTGCGCGTGCGTGCACGCACGCACACACACACACACACACACACACACACACACACACACACACACACCTCTTACGAGTCTAATTTACAAGTGAGCCACAATCAAGGCTGGAGAGATTTGGCTCAGCAGTGAAGAGGGCAGAGGACCTGCGTTCACTTCCCAGCACCCACATCAGGTATTTCACACCTGCCTGTAACTCCAGCTCCAAGGGATCTTGTTGCCTCTGGCCTCCGAAGGCCCCTCCACTCATGTGCGCATACCATTTTCCCCAAACATACAAACTAAAATTTTTAAAAATCAGTTTAAGTTGGGTGATGGTGGTGCACGCCTTTAATCCCAGTACATGGGAGGCAGAGGCAGGCGGATCTCTGTGAGTTTCAGGCCAGCCTGGTCTACAGAGTGAGTTCCAGGACAGCTAAGGATGTCACACAGAGAAACTCTGTCTCAAAAAAACAAACAAACGAATAAAAAACCAGTTTAAACGAGGCACAGCAAAAGATTAACAAGAACTCACGAACAGCGCAGCATGGCAGTGGACTGTGACAGAGGGACGCGACTCTCTCTTTTCTCCCTCTCCCTCCGTCCCTCTTCCTTCCCTTCTTTCTGAAAAAGGGTCTCATGTAGCCCAGGCTGGCTCCAAAGTCACTATGTAGCCAAGGACAACCTTAAGCTTCAATTCTCCAGCCTCCAGCTCCTGAATGCTGAGATCACAGGCCTGCATCACCATGCCCGTTCTTTCCAGTGCTGAGAATCTAAACTAGGGTTTCACACATGCTAAGGAAGCATTCTACCAACGGAGCTACATGTTCTATTCTATATTACTGACATGGAACATACACTATTGATCCAGTTCAATGGTGGTATTTCATTTGGGGTGTTTTGTTTTACTTTGAGACAGGGTCTCACTTTGTAGCCCAGGCTGGCCTCATCCCTGTGGTGAGGGTACTCCCTCTGTCTCCCACATGTTGGGATTGTAGACTTGAGCCACCACATCTGGTATTGAATTGTTTTATTTTGGAAAAACAAAAAACTTTCTAAGCCATAGAAGAGAATGACCTGGTGAGCTCCTGGCCCCTTCACAGGAGAGAATGACCTGGTCAGCTCGTGTCCCTGTCTAGAGTCATCAGCAGTCAGATTTGTGTGAGTTTCCCTGTCCCCTTCCCATTCACTTTTTCAGAGTTGAGGAGTAGACAAGCCAACCACCTCACCGACCCACGTCTCTCTAGGTCATGGGTTTTAAGTCTCTGTGGCTGCTTTCTAGACCCTCCCAGACTTTGAAGGTCTTCCTCAAGAGTCCCACCTCTATGTGTAGAGACCAGCTTGCTGAGGTGGCACCGGTTTCCTGGTTGTCCCCAGCCCAAGCCCCAAAGGCCATGACCTGTGGGTGTTGGCAACCCTCCTGCAGACAGAATACCTAGTGGGGTGGAAGTTTTACAGCTTCCACTACTACCCTCCTTCTGTGCCTCAGTTTACCTAAGTAGATCAGGAGGCGAATCAACTAAACCCAAGCAGCTGGTCACACCTGCTAGGGATTTTTCTTGATTGGATCGTTCGAGGTGAGAAGACTCACCCTAAATCTGGGCCACAGCTTCTGGTGGCAGCCTGAATGAAAGGACATGGGGGGAGGAAGCTTTGGCTTTTTGTCTGCTTGTCCTCACTTTGGGTGACAAGTCCATCTGTCCCGCTGCTGAGGCACTGGCTGGTATTAGAACTTACTTCTTCAGGATTATGACCTAGGGAAGACCAGCTGAGAGATCCGGCCTCGTGAATCAAACAACTACCAGATTCTTCGCCTTCCCATGGGGAGACAACGTCTGTTGGACCAGCTGGACCACAGCCTGTGAGCCACTCCAGGAAAGTTCTTTTTGATCTATGCCTTAATTCCACCAGTTCTGTTCCTCTAGAGAACCCTGACAGGAGGTTTGCAGGAGTCTCAAAGGCACGTTTAGCAACGCCACGTGCCCTTACCTGGGGTCGCAGGGAGGTAACTGGCAGGATCCGGGACTCTTCTGTGGTAGGCGCGGCAGCGTCTGCTGTGGTTAGGAAGAGCATGGTGGGGGCCAGGCTGGTGGAAGACTCTTCTGTGGCAGCCTCCAGCAGCTGGTCTTCAGAGGGTTCTGCCGCCTTCTTCATCAGGGAGCTGGGGCCACGGATGGCGGCTCGGCCTGAGACAAGGCAAGCACAGGGTGAACTGCCTGCCTGCTGCTCAGTGTCTACCTGCAGGTCAGCCCATCTTTTCTGCTGTAAGCCCAGGGCTGCTGGGCATCATGGTCTACTCAACATCCTTGCTGCCTACCCTGCCAGAGACCCGGAAACAGCAGTCACTGTGGGAAAGGGACTGGCTAGAGGATTTTCCTTGAGAAGCTGCGTTTTAATAAGTCTGGATCCAGGATGCCTGGGGGCAGCCAGGGACATAAAACCACAGAAGGCTTCCTGGAGGAGGCTGAGGGACTTGGGGAGAAACATGGCAGGAGAACCACTACTTACACACACCCACGCATGCATGCACGCGCGCGCGCGCACACACACACACACACACACACACACACACACACACACACACACACGCATGCACGCCCACACCACTTCACAATAAATACTTCATCTAACTACTACAGGAACTCTGAGAAGTAGTTGCTGTTCACCTACGGTGGAGAAACCCAAGCCAGAGAGGTTAAGCAGTTTCACCAAGGACACACAGCTCCTGTGTAGCAGAGCATAGATTTGAACCTCTGTCCTGAGTGCAAAGCCAATGTGTTTAACTCCTGGGGCCACCTTCGAAGACACTCAGGTATGGAAGAGTGCTGTGGGAGGGCACAGGGTCACAAACAATGGGCTCATGACAAAAGACGGGGGGCGGGAATCGTCTACACTTGTCCTTGTAAGAAACAGCTAAAAGTTGATTTGGATCCCTTGGGACCACCCCACCTTGCGGAAATGAACCCCAGTCAGCCTGAGGCTTCACAGTGATGATGAACTGGCCTGGCCTATGGACTCATCTGTCCGCTGCCACTATGTCACTCTCCCTCAGGAGGGCCCTGCCACTTCACCGAAGCCAAGGAACTTCTTGGAAACTGGGGGCACCATGTGTACTATGCTCTCCTGCTGGTCCTCAGGTATCAGCAGCTTCCAAATTGGCACAGGAGACCCCTGAGAATGGGAGGGCGTATGATGAAGCTTGTCCTTGCCATGTGGGGGGTCTGAGCTGACCTGGCTCACTATCTGCAGAAGGGGGATGCCGATGCCCCACTTTCTTCCTAGAGAAACACCCCCACCAGCCCGTCTGTGGCACTTGCTTTGACCCTAGAGGCGGTCTTGTCACGTGGAAAGACTTAGTAGTCAGGTGACTTGTGCAGGCTCAGGGCCAGGTGAGGCCAGGGCAGGGGCCAGCTGGTTGTGGGGGCGGAGCCAGGTGCTTGGGGGCAGGACCAACTGGCTGCCGGGGAGGGGCTATCTGCTTGGGGGAGGGGCCATCTGGTTGCGGGGGCGGGGCCAACTGCCTGCGGGGAGGGGCTATCTGCTTCGGGGAGGGGCAGCTGGTTGGAGATGTTCAGGTTTGTCAGAGACTATTCATTTGGGCCACAGGATCCTCAGCCTGGGTGACTACAGACGCTGGGAATGGAGGCAGAGAACTTGTTAAGGAAGGTGAACGCAGGCATACATGGGAGGGTGACGTCTCTCTCAGGATGCTGCAGTATATAGCTTTGCCGTCCCCCAAGGACCCAGAGCTTGGTCTTGGGGCTGGAGAGATGACTCAGAATTTAAGAGCGTGCACTGCTCTTGCAAAGGACCTGAGTTCCATTCCCAGCATCCATGTCAGGTGGCTCTGGCCTCCGAAGGCACTGTACTCACACGCACATATCCACGCATACATACATATAATTGAAACAATAGAAATAACTCTTAAAAAAAAATAAAAACTTGATTCTCCAGCCTGAGGCTCTACTTGGAAGCAGTGGGATCTCTGGGAGATGAGGCTTAGTAGAAGGAACTTGAGTCGTTGGGGATGCCTCTGAAGGGGATACGAGGATCCAGGCATTCCCGTGCTCTCTCCCTCCCTCTCCTCTCTATCTCTGTCTCTGTCCCTCCTCCTTCTTTTCCCGGCCACCGAGCACCATGAGATGACCAGCTCTACGCTACTTCCACAATGCTCTGCCTCACTACCGGTCCAAGCAACCACAGGCTGAATGCTCTCAATCCTTAATTCCAAATCAGCCGTTTCCGCTTTGTACGGAGTTTCCCGGGGATTTTGTCACCGTGACAGACAGCTGACCACCACACGGGGTCACTAGTGAGCAGGGTTGGAGGGTGCTAACCAGGGAGCCGTAGATGGATTTAGTAGCGATTGCTCAGGTGATGCCTGAGCCTGAGCTGTCCCAGCATCAGGTCATCTCCTCCTACACTAAGGTTGGGCAGTATTGTCCCCTTTGCAGAGGGACAAACTGAGGCTTAGGAAGGTGACTTTCCCAAGGCCACAAACTAGTGAGTAGTGGAGTCAGACACTGGTCTCAACAGATCTGGCTGCCGAGTCCAAGCTTTCAGCTCCCACTCTGTTCCTGAGCTCATTAAAGGATGTGCTAGGAGGAGGGTTCCCAGCTCTTCTATCTGTATACAGGCAGGGCTCAGAGTTGGGTAGATTTAGGTCAGATGCAAGGTAATCTTCCCGACCTAGGAGGATGACTGATCGCCTAAGGAGGCAGAACTTGGATTGCGAGTTCCCGGTTCCCACCTCTGCCCCTCCCCCTCGGCCTCTCCTTGCTTCCTCTGACTTTAGTAAGATGCATCCCCTCTTCTGCCCTTTTGGGGCCTCTGAATGGTCTCTCCGGGCCAAAACACCGACTCTCTGACCACTTCCTGCCCTTGGCATTGACCTAGAGCTTTCCCAGAGTGAAGGGCTCGCAGGTCTCCAGCTACCTCGGTGCAGCCGCAGCCGGTCCCGGCGCCTCTTGTGTTCTCTGCCGCGTTTCCTCATCCTCTCCCACCCGGAAGACCGGGGCTCCTTCTCGGGATAGGGCAATGCCAGCCCCAGAAGTTGATCCTTGTCCTGCAGAAGGCCAGCAGGGCGCTGACCAAGTGTCATCCCGGAAGCCTGCCTACTGGCAGTGACCACAGTCCCCTCCTGGGCCCGGCTGGGCATGCCTGGGCCCCTGTCCTTCTTGCCCAGGCCCCGTCGGCCATGATGGCTGGCCTGAGGCACCCACAGTGAAGAGCTGGGGAGGTGGGGATGGGATTCAGGCAGGTTCCGGGCAGAGGATCCAGATGCAAGGGTGCCTGCTACATGGAGCTCTGGGAATAGCAGAAGGACCAGGAACAGCATGGGGACCTTGGCGACAGTGGACCCTGCCATTGGCTCTCCCTAAAAGAAAAACAACATATGAGGGCAGTACACAGCCCCTCCCTACAGCCCCTCCCAAAGCTTCATATCTGCACCCCATTATACAAACTGCTTTTCTCACGGGGGTGTTGGAGGCGCTGTTCCCTGGACATTTTTTAAAAACTTTTTCAGTGTTTTGGATTGTTGTTGAGGTTTTGTTTTGCTTTTGAGACAGAGTCACATGTAGCCCAGGATACACTTTGAACAGAGGCTCCTCTTGCTCTAGAATTGCTGGCATGAACCACCATGCCCAGCTTCTTCCCTTTTGAGGGAGGATTTAAAAATTCATTAAATTGCTGGGCAGTTTCAGGACAGCCAGGGCTACACAGAGAAACCCTGTCTCAAAAAAAAAAAAAATTCATTGAATTACATTTATTCATTTATTGTGTGCATGCCACGGTGTGCATGTGGAGGTCAGAAGATAACTTTCAGAATCAGTTCTCTCCTTCTACTCATGAGTCCCAAGTACCAAACACAGGTCATCCTTCTTCACAGAAAGTTCCTTTACCCACTGAACTATCTTGTCTGTCCTCCCTCTTTTTAAATTGTTAAACACGTATGTGTGTGTCTGTCACATGAGTGCAATTCCCAGGGAGGCCAGAAGAGGGCGTTGGGTACCCTAGAGTAGAGGTGTCAGTTGCCTGAGATGGGTGCTGGGAACCAAACTCAGATCTTCTGCAAGAATGACAAGCAACAAAAACTTCTTTTTTTCCGAGACAGGGTTTCTCTGTGTAGCTTTGTGCCTTTCCTGGATCTCGCTCTGCAGACCAGGCTGGCCTCAAACTCACAAAGATCCGCCTGCCTCTGCCTCCCGAGTGCTGGGATTAAAGGTGTACGCCACTACTGCCTGGCTGCAACAAGAACTTCTTAGTGTAACTGAACCATGTCTCCAGCTTTTATTTCCCCTCTTGAGACAGGGTCTCAAACTGGTCCTAGCTGGTCTGGAACTTGTTATGTAGACCAGGTTGGCCTCCAACTCACAGAGATTCACCTGCCTCTCCTTCCTGAGTGCTAGAATTGAAGGTGTGCACCACCACATCTGGCTTTCTTTCTTTTCTTTTCTTTCTTCTTTGTTTGTTCTTTCTAGACAGGGTGTCTCTGTGTAGCCCCTGGCTGTCCTGGGACTTGCTTTCTTACCATGCTGGCCTCGAACTCTGAGATCTGCCTGCTTCTGCCTCCTGAGTGCTGAGATTAAAGGCGTGTGCCACCACTGCCCAGCTTCTTTTCCTTTTTAAATTTGATTTGATCTTTATTTTGAGACAGGATCATGTTAAGTAGCTCGGGTTGGCCTTGAACTCATGGTGCTCAATCTGCCTCAGCCTTCTGCCTGCTGGGAGTATAGGCGTGAATCCCCATGCACTGCTGAGGTCATTTTCACATGTCAAAACTGGATGATGCTAAGGGTTCCTGATGGGAGGAGGCCAAGAGAGCTGGTGAACACTCCACAGTCCCCCAACACAAGATTGTCCTCGTGGGGCGAGGAAGATGGCTCAATGGTTAGACACTGTTGCTTGGTTCCCAACACCCACATGGTGGCTCACAACAATCTCTAACTCCAGTTCTGGAGGATCCAACACTCTTTCCTGGCCTCCATTGGCACTGCATGCACATAGTGTAGTGCCCAGACATACATGCAGGCAAAAAACACCCATACACACATAAGAAAATCACCCAAGGCTGAGGATTCTTGGCTTAAATCTTCCCAGGCTAGCCTAGAAGTCCTTTCTCTGCACAAACCTCTGCCCTGGGCCCAGCCCTCTGAGACACAGCTAAGCCTCTCAGAGCTCAGAACCCACCCCTTGCCACTGAGATTTAACTGCAGCCTACAAGAAGAAACTTGAGTTATCTTCTCATCGGCCATTTGTAATGACTCCTGTCACTTCTCCCATTTTTCTGAAGTGGGAGAGGATTTGCAGGATAGTAGGCCATACCCAGTGAGTAAGTGTCTGTGCTCTGGGCCTTCTGTGGCTCTCCAGGGTGGCCTAGCTCTGTCCTTGCCCCTATTCCCACCACCCCCTTTGACAGAATCTCATGGAACCCAGGTTGGCCTAGAACTCATTATATAGCCAAGGATGACTTTGAACTCCTGATTCTCTTGCTTCCCTTCCTCCACCCCACTTGTGCTAGGATGATAGGCATGCACCTGTTTTGGAAGATCTGAAAACAGGGGTTTGGCGAGAGGTGTCTGTCAGACTCTGAGGGTACTCCTGCCTGCAGCATTCTTATCCACCCCAGCCTCACTGCCTTGGCCAGGCTCATACCGGGTCAGCTGGCTGATTGAATTTTTATAGCACAGAATTCCATTAGGGTCCCCAAGGTGCTGATGCCACCATTTCTTTGTGATTTGTGGCTTTATAATTGCCCAGGGCAAGGAAAAGTTGTCAGGTCTGGAAGATTCCCTGGTTCCCAGCATCCCTCACTCCAGCTGGCTCAGCTTCTGAAGCCCTCAGGCCCACCCCTGTCAGGTTCACCTTCAACAAGCTCGGAGTGGGGGCTGCCTTGCCCGACCTTGGAGTCAACACTAGGCTGACTCACCTGAGGCTGAGAATAAAACACTCTTGCCCCTTACTCCTCTTCATCCTGGGGCCCTGGGCTCTTCCCAGAGCCACTGGCTGAATGTCAGGAGGTCTCACTGCTTTCCACTTTGCCTGCTATCTTGGGACTAAGACCTGAGGGGCCTTGAAGCCAGCTTGCTGTCCCTGTGGAGTCACAAAGTCAGCGACCCTCAGAGCTTCCCAGCCAGCCTGGATGTGGTCTCGGAGAACAACAGCTCCTTCCCTACAGAGGCAAGTGAGAAAGTCCATTCCTTGGCATCAAGGATGGGGACATAGATTGATTGGTAGAATGAATGATTGCCCACTATATACAAGGCCCTGTGCTTGATCCTCAGTGCTACATAAACTGGTGCATAATGGTGCACACCTGTAATCCCAGCACTCAGGTGGGGGAGGCACAAGGTTCAGGAGTTTGAGGCCATCCTTGGGTATAGAGGATATTTGAAGTCAGCCTAAGCTACATAATATCCTGTCTTCAAAAATAAAATAAAGGAGCCAAGTAGTGGTGGCATACATCCTTAATCCCAGCACTTGAGAGGCAGAGGTATGTGGTGATATTTTGTTTGTACTCTAACAAATAAAATTTGCCCAAAAATCAGAGGACAGGGCCAGCCACTAGATTAAACATAGAGGCCTGGCAGTGGTGGCACACACCTTTAATCCCAGCAATTGGGATTTCATGCCTTTGCTCCCAGTATTTGGGAAGGAAGCACACACACCATTAATCCCAGCACTAGGAAGGTTGAGACGAAATGATATGGCTGGGCAGGGAAAGGCATATAGGGCAGGCGCGACAGGAACTCAGCCCCTGCGGCTGCGGACTCAGAGGCTCTCAGTCTGAGGATTCGGGGAGACAGGGTCTCACTTCCCTTTCGGCTGAGGATTCAGTAGTGGCGAGAAGTTTCTCTAGTGGCTTGTTCCTTTGTCTCTCTGATCTTTCAGCATTTACCCCAATATCTGGCTCCGGGTTTTTATTTTTATTTTTTTTTTAATTTTTTTTTTAAAGATTTATTTATTTATTATGTATACAGAAGAGGGCACCAGATATCTTTATAGATGGTTGTGAGTCACCATGTGGGTGCTGGGAATTGAACTCAGGACCTCTGGAAGAGCAGTTGGTACACTTAACCTCTGAGCCATCTCTCCAGCCCCCCGGGTTTTTATTATAAGATCAATTAGGATTCGTGCAACAGAGGCAGGCAGATCTCTGAGTTCAAGGTCAGCCTAGTCTACATAGTGAGCTCCAGAACAGCCAGACAGAGAAACCCTGTCTCAAAAAACAAAACAATACAAAAAGTAAGTAAAGGGCTGGAGAGATGACTCATCAGTTAAGAGTGCTTGGGGTGGTTCCCAGCACCCACCTTGGGTGACTAACTACTACCACATGCAACTCCGACATGCGCAGAGCCTTACGACACCTGCTTCTGGCCTCTGTCAGCACCCATACTGACTTACTTTCTATTGCTGTGATAAAGACACCATGACCAGAAGCAACTTGGGAGGACAGGGTTTATTTGGTTTGCATGACCCAATCACAGTCTATCACCGAGGGCAGGAACCTGGAGGCAGAAGCCGAAGCAGAGGCCATGAGGAGTGCTGCTTACTGGCTTGTTTTCCAGGTTTGCTTATCCTGCTTTCTTATACAACCCAGAGGACCACCTGTTCAGGGGTGTCCCCACCCATGGTGGGCTAGACCTCCCATATCAATCATCAATCAAGAAAACACCCCCACAGACTTGCCTACAGGACAATTTGATGGAGGTATTTTCTCAATGTGGTTCCTCTTCCCTGAGCTCATTTCATATTGACAAAGGAAAAAAACAAAACAAAAACAAAAACAAAAACAAAAACAAAAAAAACAGTGCATGAGCTTGGGGGTGAGTGTGTGTGCGCGCGTGTGCGTGTGCGTGCGTGCGCGTGTGTGTGTGTGTGTGTGTGTGTGTGTGTGTGTGTGTGTGTGTTTATGTCTGTATAAGAAACCTTTTAAAGAGAAATTAAACAACAGGACCTGTGAGATGGTTCAGCAGGTAAAGACACTTGCTGCCAAGCCTGATGACCTGAGTTCAATTCCTGTGACTCACATGTTGAAAGGAGAGGACTGATTCTTACAAGTTGTCCTCTGACCTATATTTGAGCACTGTGGCATCTCTCTCTCTCTCTCTCTCTCTCTCTCACTCTCTCTCTCTCTCACACACACACACACACACACACACACACACACACACACACCACACACAAAATAAACAGATAAGACAAATTTTAAAAAAGCAGGGGTGGGAGGTGGCTCATTGGTTAAGAGCACTTGCTGCTCTTGCAGAGGACCCAGGTTCAGTTCTAAGCACATACATGGCAGGTCATAACTGTCCATAAGAACTGTTGCAGGGGATCCAACGTCCTTTTCTGGCCTCCATGGACAGCTACATGCAC